ATTTTCATGCAACCATCCAGTGGATACTCAATTGCAAGGTTTGCGGAGGCCGCACAGCCACACCAACCACCACCGCCAAACACTTGCAAATCCGTTCCCCGTCTGTCACCTTCTCTACTACGCGTCTCTGGCCATGGCGTCCCCAATTGCGCGCCCAGCAGCAACTCCCAGCGCCACGACGCTGATCTGCGCGATCACGACGCCCCTGCGCAGCAGTGCTGCCCCGCCGATCCCCGTCGCCGCGCAGCTGTACGAGCCGCTCGCGAATGCCGTCCTGCGCCGGCACCTCACCCCGCGCATCTTCCCCGCCACCGGCCTTCTTTGCGTCTTCGCTGCGGGTGTGTGGCTGGCGAGTATCGGGAGGTTGAGTGGAAGTGGGGTGGGTGTGCTGGGTGTGCTGGGCGCGGCGGCGGGGATGTGGGTCGGCGCCGTGCTGCCTGTGTTGCTTGTGCGGAAGGCGTTCCTCACCGGTGCGTCCTTCCTTTCTTTCCCTTCTTCCTCCTTTGTTCTAAAGCTGATTGGGGGACAGTAACGCGCACGCGCGCCCCCTCGCCTCTCCTCCTGCTCCAAAAATCGCTCGCGCCAAACTCGGCGCTGCACGTGCGCGCCCTCCGCGCAGGTCAGGCACACCTGCTGTCCGCCCTCTCTTTGCTCGCGCTCCACGCGGCGCTCGACCCCACGCTGCCCGTGTTCATCAGGTCCCGGTGCGTCCGCCTCTGTGTATTAGTATGAGAGGGGCAGAGAGACTGACCGATATTCGGGCAGGAAACACCCATGGACGCCACACCCCCGCTCGTGCTCCTCGCGCTGAGCCAGGCCGCGCTCGCGGCGCTGTACGTCGCGCGCGCGGCGCTGCACGATGTCTGGGTCTTCCCGTTTCGGGTGTATCTCTCCCTCTTAGTCTCCTTACCTCTTCCTTCATGTTTCCTTCCCTGCCTCCGCCTCTTCCCTTCCCCTCCGCCTCTCCCCGTCCCCGTCCAGGCGTATCCCCTGCCCTCCACCTCCTCTTGTCTCCTTGAACGGAAGTTACGCTAACGCCCCCCTGCTCCCAGCGCCCCGCGCTGCGCCCCACCCCTGGCGCGCTCCTCGGGTTCTTTTTGGTCCTGCCGGTGGCAAGGAGGGTGCCGTTATATGCGTGTTTTTCTCTTTCTCATCTTTTTGTGTTGGGTTTTTGTGCGGTGACTGCACACCATGTACCGTTGAAGATCTTGGCTGTCTGGCAATATGATGGACCTAATTATGTCGTTGCCTGACCGTCGCAGCCAGGCACATCTTAGGTTGCAGGTAATAGTACACCACCCGCATGACATGATTCGAGGATGTATTTACCTCGAAGGCGCCAAGCCAGAAGATTTAACAAGCCCGAGACGCCCGAACGGCACCCAGGTGTGGTTAGACCGTTCTGTTTGCCGATCTAACAGAATTCGGGGGATAAAAGTGGCGTAAAAAACGGAGGTTGTGGAGAAACTGTTCGGTCAAATGAACACCGAAATCTCAAATCAAGGGACTGAGAAGAAAATCAGCAGCAAAATTATGACATGTCAAGCCATGGTGCTCGTGCATTTCCTTGACGTACAGTCCGAGTCTTCGATAAACCTGTCAAGCACTGGCATTGTCCTTTACTGACGGATGTGATGGACTCTCGTGCAGGGAGAAAGTGGCCACCAGCCCATAGGGTCTAGAGACAGTTCGTCACGGACAGATTGATGTTGCCGGAATCAACGGTTGAGCTTACCAAATCCTACAGTAACAAAAATTTGGCAAATGGACTCAACTCAGACATCAAATAGTTCAAAATAAGTTACTTGATTGAGGATGAAGCGCCGGCGTGAAGACAGCGGCATTGACAGGAACAGACAGCAGGCACCAAAGTATCACATATCTCACAAGAACTAGATGCATGCAGTTTAAATCCCATCTCCTTCTTCTATCCAACAGCGCGAACCTTAATCCATGCGTTAGAAACCGCACAGGAAATGAGTTGTAAACAAACTTGGTTTGATCTCCCCACGTCTTTTCTTGGCGACGAAGAGCTCCGCGCGCGCCCAAAAGTCCAGCCCGCCCCTCATGCCGAAAATCGAGTCGCTCGGATACTCCTCGTCTGATACCAACAGCGATACAAAGCGTGCGTCGTCGATGGATGGCAGCACTTCCGCGGGGTACGGACCGAAGGTTTGCATGCGAACCAGGACTTCAAGTTTCCTGTTAGTCGAGAGCAGCTGTGTCCCCACTGTGGAGTCGTTTAACTGAAACAACCCTAAATGCGTGAGGGCGGGGAGTAGGGCAAGATCGGCCGATAGAGAACGTAAATCCGAGCTGCTGTCCAATGAATCGAACAGATCCAGATGAGTGAGCGAAGTAAACATGGGATCGACCGGATTCATCCATATTCGATCCTGAGGGCCAGCCGTCGCAGCTTCATAGTCTGCAGCCGGGGTAATATCGATCGTTCTGGGGAAGGAAATAGTACGAAGGACCGAAGTGCGCTGCACATGGAGAGAATTTCGACTAATTCGTCCTCATCCATGGTCTTTTCGACGAATAAATTCCAAACGCGATCACGGAAGAAATTAGTCGGTTTGACGGTGGAGCGGATTGCCTGCTGAAGGACGTGGATTCGACATGTATGGGCGATGCCATCGAAAGTAACAGTCCTGTATTTGATTCTTTCTATCCTGCTGCTGGGTTAGATGATCGTCCGACGACTCCGCAGAGATGTGTCAGGCAGGCTCACCATTCATGGACGCGCTTTGCAACGAGAAGAAGGTTGGGGATGGTTTCAGGGTACAGGTACGCGGCTGTTTCAAAGATATCCCGTTCCAGTTCTAGTGGAAAGAAGGGTGAGGAATTTTCACTCGACTCCATCCGTTGAAGAGATGGAGGACGGAAGACGGAGCTTTGAAGTTGTGACTGTTTGTCCGTCGATTGATGATCGGCTTTTGATCGGCTTTCTCCTTCCATGCCGGTTGGACCCGGCCACTCCGGGAATCCCCGTAGCTTTCAGGACGATCTTTCCACCAGGTCCTAGTAGGCCGCCCATGTCCAAGATGGTTTCTCCCTCAAACCCACCCTAATTATCGGACGGCTGGGACCCAAAAACTGACGAGAGATTCCGAAGCAGATAGAGTCACCAGTCATGAAGCTCTCGCGAGAAAAAGCAAATGCGTCATGGGTGGGCAGAAAAATATGACATTTTAGGTAGTCACCATCGTTTCAGCATCTTTGCAGCGAGTTTAACTACGAATAAGCTTGAGTATTCACTCAACAGACTGCCAGGAAAACAAGGTGAGAGGCCGACCCATCCAATGCTGCACTGATGTTCGACAGAAGCGACCGACGAACAAGGATATGAAGTGTGCGTCCACGGATAGCAGGTCCTCCCGGGAGTAGTCGGGGTGGCTCATGCGGATCAGCACCTCGAGTTTCGGACATTTCGAGAGCTTTCGTCGAACACGGGTGCGAGGCGACCGCCACGGTCCACGGGGGCTTTCAAGGTATGGTTCGCGCTGATGGAAGTGCAGGATAAGATGATGAGTGGACGAACAGAGAAAAAAGAGATTCGTATCTTGGCAATGCCCCCGGGAGGAATGGAATCTCCTTCTCCTTGTTAAACCTTTGGACAATCCACATATGAAGTAGAGGCGACCAACACGGTCCAAGGGTGCTTTCCAGCTAGGGTTAACGGTACGGGATGTACGAATAGCTTAGTCGAGCAACAATTTAAAAAAAAGAAGCTTGCTTCGTCGCCACATGCCGTGCACATGCCCCCGGGAGGAGTCGAACCTCCGTCTCCTCGTTACACATCTATTTATCACAAAAACCAGGTGGAGGTAATCACCATGATCCACGGGGGCTTTCCAGCGAGGGTTAACGGTCTGGGAAATATGAATAGTTGTCAGTGAAGTACCGATGAAAAACTGAAAGAAAGAAAGAAAGAAAGAAATTACTCGCTATCGCCACATGCCCCTGGGAGGAATTGAATTCGAACCTCCTTCTCCCCATTACACCTGCCTATATATGACTGATATACAGGTTCGAGGGGATCACCGTGATCCACGGGGGCTTGCAAGATATGGTTAGTGCTCTTTTAAGTGCAGCTAAATTTTTGAAAGCACATAAAAAAACCACTGAGCTAGATTGGGCCCCCGGGAGGAATCGAACCTCCGACTCCTCATTACCCACAATCATGCCAACATACAGGTTCCAGGCGACCACCATGATCCACGGGGGCTTGCCAAGTTCTTTTCTTTTCTGCGCCGATGGATGCACAAAGTAAATGAGAATGAATGCAGAAAGAAAAAGGATGCACAACGTATAAATGGCCCGGGAGGAATTGAACCTCCATCTCCTCGTGACACATCTTTTCCAAACTACGGCGACGGGTTCGAGGAGATCGCCATGATCCAGGGGCGTTTGATGGTTCGCGCTGTTTGATGTACGAATGGATGTCAGTGAAGCACCGGTAAAAAAATGAAAGTTTCATTGCCGTCGCTTATACCCCCGGGAGGAATCGAACCTCCGTCTCCTCGTTCAAGCTCTTAAACAAATCAGTTACAGATTCGAGTCGATGACCATGATCTACGGGTGCTTTCCAGCCACATTTCGTGCCCTTGGAAGTGCAAATAGCTGTGAGTGGAGCACCGATGCAAGAAGAAAAAAGGGAAAGCCTGAAATCCACACCATGCCCCTGGGAGGATTCGAACCTCCGTCTCCTCTTTCATAGTTTAATTCTAGTAAATCAACGGATGAGGTGGAGGCGACCATCACGGTCCACAGGTGCTTGCAAAATATGTTTCGTGCCCTGGGAAGTGTGAATAGTGCGAAGTGAAGCGCCAATGAAAAAAGGGGGAAACGGAAAAATAGCAGATTGCTGTATAATGCCCCTAGGAGGAATCAAACCTCCGGCTCCTCACCAAGCCTTTTATACAACTATATAGGAAGCAGAGGTGACCGCCACGGTTCACGGCACAGAGCAAAAGACGTTCATACTTGATGGCCAATGCCCCCGGGAGGAATCGAACCTCCGTCTCCTTGCTACTCATGTTCGGCCCTACACAGATCCGAGGCGACCACCAATGATCCACAGGGGCCTGCAAGGGTATTGATGGGGCTCTTGTAAGTGCGGTGAAAATGTTGAGCTGCCGAGTAAAAAAAGCTGGAAAACTTACAGCACGCCCCCGGGAGGAATCGAACCCCCTCCTCCTCGGTAAACTCCTTTTCCCTGATGCACGAGTTCGAGGGGATCACCGTGATCCACAGGGGCTTTCCAGCTACGGTCAATGGCCTAGGATGTATGAATAGTTGTTAGTGGAGCACCGATAAAAAAAGAAAAAAAAAGAAAAAGGGAAAGCACCCAACGCCCTATGCCCCCGGGAGGAATTGAACCTCCGTCTCCTCGTTAAACCTCATTTATATACACAACATGGAGCGGAGGGGCCGCCATGGTCCACGGGGGTTCCAAAGCTATGGTTCGCCCCCTAGGGGCCCCCCTTGGATGTGCAGATGAAATGGGAAAGGATGCGTAGAGCAAAAAATATACGTAGTTCAAACCATGTGAGCTCTCAAAAATGAGGGGATCGGTATGGCTCCTTTTCAGCGCAATTGACACCAGCGATGATTTTTATCACCAGTGGACATCGGAGACTGGTGCAGACCGTGCAGTTCGCGGAAGGAAGAGGCAGCACAGCCACACCAACCACCCCCGCCAAACACACGCAAATTCCTTTCCTCGTCTTTCACTTCATTCTGTACGCGTCTCCAGCCATAGCATCCCCCAATGCGCGCCCAGCATCAACTCCCGGCGCCCCGACGCCAATCCGCGCGATCACCACGCCCTGCTTAGCAGCGCCGCGCCGCCGATCCCCGCCGCGGCGCAGCTGTACGAGCCGCTCGCGAAGGCCATCCTGCGCAGGCGCCTCACCGCGCGCATATTCCCCGCTACCGGCGTGCTCTGTGTGGTCACTGCGGGTGTGTGGCTAGCGAGTATCGGACGGGTGAATGGGGTGGGGTAGGTGTGCTGGGTGTGCTAGGTGTGGCGGCGGGGATGTGGGTCGGCGCCGTGGTGCCTGTGTTGCTTGTAAGGAAGGCGTTCCTCACCGGTGCGTCTTTCCTTTCCTTCCTACCCCCTTTTTCACCAAAGGCTGATTTCGGGGACAGTGATGCGCACGAGCGCGCCCTCGCCCTTCCTCCTGCTCCAAAAATCGCTCGCGCCTTTAAACACGGCGCTCCGTGCGCGAACACTGCATGAATGGCAAGCGCACCTTGTACCCGCGCTAGCTGTGCTCGTTCTCCATGCGGCGCTCGACCCCACGCTGCCCGTGTTAATCAGGTCCCGGTGCGCCTCCTCCCTCCCTACTCAATTTATACGTGTAGACGCTGACGCGGCGGCAGGAAACACCACTGGACGCCACACCCCGCTCGCAGCGCTGTACGTCCTGCGTGCGGCGCTGCGCATGCGGAGTAGGGCCGCGCAGCTCATCCTGCGCAGTCGCGTTCATTCTTCGCTCGCGCGCCAGCGTGGAGTGCCGGAAACTGGGGTACTGTAAGTACCTCGATAGTTATCACCTGAAATGCAAAAGGTTCGCCGGAATGCGCCCGCAGATGCAGCGCGCCGCTCGCGTCGAGTGCGCCCTGAATCTGCGCGCAAGGCCGCCGCGGACGGGCGGTGTTGCGCTGGGACGGTGTAAGCTAAGTACACGTCCGCACTACTTGAAATTTAAAGACTCGCCTGGATTTGCGCACGCAGAGCTCGCCGAGAGCCCCTCTGCGTGGAATGCGTGCGGCGTGCACACGCGGCTCGCGTCTAATGCGCGCCAAGTCCCCGGCAGCGGAACTGTCCGCAAATCTGCGGGCAAGTCCCCGCGGACGCGCGCACGGCGCTGGCCGCGCTCGCGAGCGTCGATTCCGGTATTCACCTCGGCACAGATAGGGCTCTGGCAGGTCGCGGGACTCGTAAGAAACACGAGCCGCAAAGTAGGTACGGAGCTGTGAATACAATCTACTCAATTGAATGAAAAACACTCACCGAATATTGTGAGTGCGGAACTGAGGGATTCGAAATGAGAGTTCTGTGAGCCGTCAGTGCAGAACTCGAGGCTTACCGTTCATATGCAGATTTGTTTGAAATGTCCCCAAGCTGAACTCCAAGTTAAAGCGTGAGCACGGGCCACAACAGGGGGAAATTGGAGAGCTTACCTCAGACAGGCTCAAAGCCGGTCAATTGGGACGATTTGAAGCGAGCTGATTCAAGCGGACTATTAGAGCCTCGAGGTCAGTAAGAGATAATGCAAATCGTACTAACTAACCTGTTTTAAGGGTGAATTCAAGGTTCATTCAGTTCAACTCCAACTGGAACGTAGAACTGCAGTCAAAATGAATACAAGTAAGAGCAGAAATTGAAGGGAATCTCACCTCGGATAGCTCTGAATCCGTTCCGTGCGACGTGCATAACTAGCCGAGTTTAAGCTCGAATATACGAGTCTAGAAGGAACGAGGGCCAGTAATGTGGGGCGAGTTCAACCAGTGTTTACTGACTGCAGGTTCAACTCCATTTCGCAACGCAATAAGACCTGCGCTGCTCAAGTCAGCATCTCAAGTCAGCACCTGGACTCGAGACTTGAGGTCAGTAAGGGATAATGCAAGCCGACAATGTACTAGTTCAGTTCAACTCCAGCTTGGAACGTAGAACTGGTGGTCAAGATGAATACAAGTAAGAATTGGAAGCTCACTTCGGATAGTTCCGTTCTATCTGACACGCATAGTGGGTCGAGTTTAGGCTCGATTATACGAGTCTACAAAGAGCGAGGTCAGTAAAGTGCAAGGTGTTGAACCAGGATTACTGACCGCGTAGTCCAGCACACCTGAGCTGCTCAAGTCAATGTCTTAGAGGATCTCGGAGGTCAGTAAAGTGTGACCAGTCGGAACGAGGGTGTGCTAACCTCGATATCACACAGGTTCGACTTTGGTGGAACTCGGACTTGATGGATCCTGGAGACAAGACATGAGCACGAACCTCGATCGGATGGATTAAACGCGCATACACCTCCATTGGATCGTCGTGTACAACTTCTGCGAGAGCTCATTGAGTCAAAATTTTGAAACTAATGCAGACTTGAACCACGATGAATAAGTATTGCTTCAATAAATTCAACGGAATATTACCTTACAAAGTATGCGCGTGAGACTACACGGGGGCTCCAAAGCTGCGGTTGACGGCGTTGGAAGTGTAGATTAAATGCTGACTGGATGCACAGAGAGAGAAAAAAGGGTCAAACCCAGATATGCCCCTGGGAGGAATCGAACCTTCGCCTCCTCGTTGCACACCTATATAACTTAAATAATGCAGACATACAGATTCGAGGTGACCACCACGGTCAACGGAGGCTTTCCAGCTAGGGCTGATGTACGAATAGTTGGGAGTGAAGCACCGATGAAAAAAGAAAGCCTAAAACAAATTGTTGCTAGCTGCCCTACGCCCCCGGGAGGAATCGAACCTCCTTTTCCTCGTTAGAGATCTATTCATAACCAACTACGGATTCGGGGAGATTGCCATGATCCACGGGGGCTTGAGAGCTATGGTGCGCGCTCTTTTAAGTGCGGCTAAAACCAAACTAAGTTGACACTAAAAAATACAGACAGGCTATGCCCCTGGGAGGAATCGAACCTCCGTCTCCTCGTTACACAGCTCTTAAACAAACCAGTTACAGGTTCAAGAGGATCGCTACGGTCCACGGGGGCTTGCGAGGTATGGTTCGTGTTCTTCTAAGTGCCGAATAAAATACAGAGCTGGGTGCAAAGAGAAAAAGTGTGATGAACAGAAAAACCAGTGCCCCCGGGAGGAATCGAACCTCCATCTCTTCTGGTTTATACCTCCCTGGCTGACAATATATGAAGCAGAGGCGACCACCATGGTCCACGAGGCCTTGCGAGGTATGGTTCGCGCTCTCATAAATGCAGCTAAAATGAAATTAAGTTGCCATATAGTAACCAAAAAATAAATCCTGTACTCATCAAGTTTGCCATGCCCCCGAGAGGAATCGAACCTCCTCCTTGTTCACACTCATACGGTAGCACCTAGATGCGAGGTGATCACCACGGTCCACGGGTGCTTTCCGGCTAGGGTTGACAATTTTGGAAGAATGAATAGTTGTCAGTGGAGCACCTATGAAACAAAAAGGAAGAAAAAAGGAGAACGGAAAAATCACTCAATGCCCCCGGGAGGAATCGAACCTCCTCTCCTCGTTAAGCATCCTTTCACCGCCAATGATGGGTTCGAGGCGACAGCCACGGTCTACGGGGGCTCCAAAGCTATGGTAAGTACTCTTCTAAATGCGATTCAAATCTAGGTCTAGGCGCAGAGAGAGGAAAAAGGATCAAGCTGCCACCCCATGCCCCCGGGAGGAATCGAACCTCCGCCTCGTTGCACACCTATATAACTTGAATAATGCAGACATAGAGATTCGAGGTGATCGCCATGATCCACAGGGGCTCGAGAGCTACGTTGAGCGCTGTTGGAAGTGCAGGATAAGATGTTGGGTGGGCTACAGAGAGAAAAGAGATGCAAGACCAGCTAATGCCCCGGGGAGGAATCGAACCTCCATTTCCTCATGTCGTTGCTAATACTTTTTTGTTGCTTCAATTCAGTTTCAGAAGCCTACGTAGAGTGAACACAACTACGCTTTCGCCTCGATGAACCACCCACCCGCAACTTCTATCCCTGACGACTCGGAGAGGCTTGATCCCGAATTGATTTCCTCGCCTACAAAACAGGTGTGTAGCCCATCCTTGTCATTATTTTTGTTTTCTCACTCTGGACTTGAATATTGCTGCTCGTCTGAAGCAGATAACCCTGACTCGCGAAAACCTGCCGAATGCTCAGTTTGACGTGGACACGGATGTCGAGTTCGACTACGCCTCGGACGCACATGTATTCTGGACTTTCATGGCGAGCAATGAGGTGTGGATCAAGAGCCTGAGGCTCAGGTACAACGCCCGGTTGTTTACGCAATCTGGTCGTGACCTGGCGACTGTGGTGCCGGGGCTGGAGAAGTTGACAGTCGGGTGCGACACCACCGTCGACGAAATAGTTGCCTTTGTTGGTTCGCAGCCCAGCAAAAACCTGAAGACACCGGAACTTGAATGGAGCCACACTGCCCCGAAGGCATGTCGCCGGCTCCATCCTCAACTCCCCACCGTTTCAGTGGGTTTCTTGGGACCCCAATGCAAGGATGGCTGGCAGATTATGGGCCCTGTGTACGGATGAAATTGGTACGCAGTCGTAGTGCATTTGTAATAGTTCGCATCCTGTCTGAATTCACTCCTCGAGCGAAAGTTACTTGGGAGCAAGTAGGATTGACACCATGTCTTGGTACTTAGAATCTCCTGTGCATTTTCGCACAGGGTTGAACAACTCGTAAACCGAGGTTTTCGTAAACTATCAGCTTCCCGAGGAATCAAAGTCAGGCACGGTCGGTCTTCCCCCGCGAAACAAAAATATTAGCTGGGGAGGTACCCTTCAAATTGTAAGTGCAGCTAAAACGGAACTGAGTTGGCATAACAAATAAATATAGCCCGGGGAGGAATGCATGCGTCCAAGGTGATCACCTTGGTCCACGAGGGCTCCGAAGCTACGGTTTATGCTCTTGTCAGCGTGGCTAAAATTAGGATAACCACAGAAAAGTATATGACTTGGTTATGCCCCCGGGAGGAATCCAACCTCCGGCTCCTCCTTACGTATAGTATGTCCAACACCACGGATTCGAGGTGATCACCATGATCCACAGGGCGCTTGGCGCTTTTTTAACATAATGAATGGATGCAGAGTCAAAAAGTGTGACAAATGGAGAACCAAATGCCCCCGGGAGGTCTCCTCAGTAAACACCCAAACGGCTTCATGATTAATTTGAGGGGATCGCCATGATCCACAGGAGCTTGCACAGTATGGTTCACGCTCTGGTAAGTGCAGCTAAAATGAAGCTGAGTTCGCATAACCGAAAAAGAAACATGCCCCCGGGAGGAATCGAACCTCCTGATCCTCGTTACATCTCTATATCCTTGACAATTAATTCGAGGTGATCACCATGGTCTACGGGGGCTCCCAAGCTACGGCTAACGGCCTTGCAAGTGCAGTCTGAATATGAATTGAGTGGGACGCAGAGAAAAAGGAATAATAATTTTTTATTAGGCCCCCGGGAGAAATCGAACCCCCTTCTCCTTCTTCACCGTTTCTCTCCAACCATATATGGAGCGGAGGCGACCGCCATGAACCACGCGGGCTTTTCAGCGAGGGTTAACGGCCTAGGATGTACGAATAGTAGTCAGTGGAGCGCCAATAAAAAATGCAAAAAGGGACAACCCTGGTCCTGCTCTATGCTCCCGGGAGGAATTGAACCCCCTTCTCCTCCTTTACAGCTTCTCTTGAAATGAAGTGGAGGTGACCGCCATGATCCACGGGGGCTTTCCAGCTATGGTCAACGGCCTAGGATGTACGAATAGTTGTTAGTCGAGCACCGAGGCAAGAAGGAAAGAAAGAAAAACACGATTGCTGTGGGACCATGCCCCCGGGAGGAATCGAACCTCCGTCTCCTCCTTCATAGCTTAGTCCTCTGTAACCACTATATGAAGCAAAGGGAACCGCCACGGTCCACGGGGGCTCCAAAGCTACGTTGAGTGCCCTTGGATGTATGAATAGTTGTTAGTTAAGCACCATTGAAAAAAGGGGAGAAGGAAAGAAAAACTTTATTGCTACGGCCCAATGCTCCTGGGAGGAATCGAACCTCCGCCTCCTCCTTCACATGTACACCTTTATCAAGTGGAGGTGACCACCACTGTCCACGGGGGACTCCGAAGCTACGGCTCTCGCCCTTCGGTGTGTGGCTAAAGTGTCGAATGGATAGAGCAAAGATGCAGAGAAGAAAAAAGATGGACGTTTGAGAAATACACCCCCGGGAGGATTCAAACTTCCTCATCCTCGTTCATAGCTTAGGCGTTTACAATGCGGAGGCGACCGCCACGGGCCACGGGGGCTCCAAAGCAATGGATAGTTCCCAGCTTTGTAAAAGCAGTTCAAATACTGAGTGGGTGCACAGAGAAAAGGAATTATACTACGCGCAGAACACATGCCCCCGGGAGGAATCGAACCTCCGTCTCCTCGTTACACATCTATTTATCCCAAAAAACAGGTGGAATGATCCACGGGGGCTTTCGAGCCAGGGTCAATAGCCTAGGATGTACGAATAGGTGTTAGTGAAGCACTATTAAAAAAATGCAAAGAGGGCAAACATTGGTCCTACCAGTGCCCTATGCCCCTGGGAGGAATCGAACCTCCGTCTCCTCATTACACACGATACTGTCGACACACAGATTCGAGGCGACCACCACGGTCCACGGGGGCTTGCCAAAGTACTTTCTGCGCCCATGGATGTACGAATAGTTGTTAGTGAAGCCCAGATAGAAAAGAAAAGAAAAGAAAAAAAGGAACCTTGCCAGCGCCGAAAGGAGGATCGGAACCTCTGGCTCCTCTTTGCACATGTACAACACCGGCATACAGATTCGCGGTGATTGCCACGGTCCACGGGGCCTTGCAAAGGTACTTTCCGCGCTCTTGGAAATGCAGCTAAAACGAAGCTGAACTGGGATAAAAATTGTTTAACGAAGCAATTCAAAGCCCCCGGGAGGAATCGAACCTCCGTCTCCTTGTTACACAGCTCTTTATCAAACCAGTTACAGGTTCAAGGTGGTCGCGATGATCCACGGGGCCTTGCAAAGGCACTTTCCGCGGCTTTAGAAATGCAGCTAAAACGAAGCCGAACTGGGATAAAAATTGTTCAACAAAAATTCAAAGCCCCTGGGAGAAATTGAACCTCCTTCTCTCTTGGTTCATACCTTCCTGGTCAACAACATAAACGGAGACGACCACCGCGGTCCACGGGGGCTTGCCAAAGTATTTTCTGCGCTCTTGGATGTACGAATCGTTGTGGAGCACCGATGAAAAAAGAGAAAAGGGAGTTTAGTACCTGTTGCCTTACCTATGCCCCCAGAAGGAATCGAACCTCCTTCTCCTCCTTCACGTTTATACAATACATCACTATAAAGCGAGGCGACCGCCACGGTCCAAGGGGGCTTGTGAGGTATGGTTTGCGCTCTTGTAAGTGCGGGTAAAATTTCAAATGGACGCAGCAAAGATGCAGAGAAGAAAAAAGATGGACATTTGAAAATTACGCCCCTGGGAGGAATCGAGCCTCCGTCTCCTCGCGACTGATGTAGACCCCACACAGATTCGAGGCGACCACCATGATCCACAGGGGCCTGCAAGATATGGTTCGCACCTGTGGATGTACGAATGGCTGTGAGCACCGATGAAAAAGGAAAGGAAGAAAAAAATTGGCATGGCGCTATGCCCCCGGGAGGAATCGAACCTCCGTCTCCTCACTACACATCAGCACATACCACACATACAGATTCAAGGTGATCGCCACGATCCACGGGGGCTTGCTAGCCACATTTCGTGCCCTGGGAAGTGTGAATAGTTATTAGTCGAACACCAATGAAAAAACGAGGAAATATTAATGACCGCCATCTCTCTATGTCCTCGGGAGGAATCGAATCTCCATCTCCTCCTTCATGTTTAATGTATTGGTCCCCTATAAAGCGGAGGCGACCACCACGGTCCATGGTTGCTTGCAAGGTATGGTTTGTTCCCTCTATTTACAAATAGTTGCCAGTGAAGCACCGATGAAAATGGAAAAAAGAATTACTTACCATCGCAAAATGCCCCCGGGAGGAATCGAACCTCCGTCTCCTCTTTCATAGCTTAGTCACGACCACTTCGAATATGACGCGGAGGCGACCGCCATGGTCCACGGGGGCTTGTGAAGCATGGCTAACGGCCTAGGATGTAAGAATCATTGTAAGTGGAGCACCGATGAAAATGGAAAAAAAAAAAAAAAAAACTCGCCATCCCAAAATGCCGGGAGGAATCGAACCCCCTTCTCCTTCTTCACATTTTAGATTTGGGACCATGTTGATATGGAGCGGAGGCGACCGCCACGGTCGACGGGGGCTCCAAAGCTATAGTTCGCGTCCTTGGAAGTGCAGAGAAAAATGTTGGGCGGGAAGCACTGGCAGCAAGGATGCAGAGAGGAAAATATATTCATGCTTGCCGTATCTGCTTTCAAAAATGAGGGGATGGTAGCGCTATTGGGTTTCAGTGGAATTGACGACAACGGTGGTTTTTATACAGTTATCCCCAGCGGCGGACATGGGATCCGGTCGAAGACCCCTGCCAAACACTTGTAAATCCCTCCCTCGTCTTTCACTTCATTCTGTACGCGTCTCTGCATGGCGTCCCCCATTGCGCACCCAGCAGCAATTCCCGGCGCCCCGACGCCGATCCGCGCGATCACGACGTGCCTGTGTAGTAGTGCCGCGCCGCCGATCCCCGCCGCCGCGCAGCTGTACGAGCCGCTTGCAAAGGCCGTCCTGCGCAGGCGCATATTCCCTGCTACCGGCGCCCTGTGTGCTTGCTGCGGGGGTGTGGATGGCGAGTATTGAGAGGTTGAGTGGGAGTGGTGTGGGTCTGCTGGGTCTGCTGGGTGCGGCGGCGGGGATGTGGGTCGCCGCCATGCTGCCTGTGTTGTTGGTCCGGAAGGCGTTCCTCACCGGTGCATCCTTCCTTTCCTTTCCTTTGTACCTCCTTCTTTGTTCTAGAGCTGATTTTGGGGACAGTAACGCGCACGAGCGTCCCCTCGCCTCTCCTCCTCCTCCAAAATCGCTCGCGCCAAACACGGGGCTGCGCGCACGCACCCTCCGTGCTGCCCAAGCACACCTGCTCTCTGCCCTCTCTGTCCTCGCGCTCCATGCTTTGCTCGACCCAACGCTGCCCGTGTTCATCAGGTCCTAGATGTGGCTTCCTATCTGCCCAGCAACCATACATACTCTTGGTTCGAGTGTATATGCTTGAGGGTTTAGTGTGTAGGCTCAGCTGTGTACTCTCCAAGTGTCACAAGTTCAATCATCCGAATAGACTTGGATGGGTTTACAGCCATCCAGTCCTATCAGCAACAGAACGACCCCATTCAGACCATCATATATGCCGACTGACCATTGTATACACTATTCGACCATCGTATATGCCAGTTTATAGTGCAGCTATTGGATGTCGATGCTATATCATCTGATACAGTCCTGTCTCTGTCTCGTGTATTTATTGCTTATATGGCCTAGGGATGCAATATATCCCATCTCCTTGATATGGACTGGCACTAAGTGACTTATTTACCCTTGGATAGAGGGTTTGCACTGTTCGACCTTAAGGTATTATATCCTAGGTCAAGTCGTATATAGGCCTCAATATGGAGTACCTGATATAAGATCATGTCCCAAGAGTCCTCTGGGTGCCATATATCCTTGACTATCTGCTCGGAGATCACAATAGTCCTCTATCGAGAGTGCTAGTACTTTGTAGATATGAAGCATGCACAAAATACAATTTTCACAGCCAGCTCAGTTCACTGCTTATCACCGACAAGCTCTGGTAACCGTACCTGGTCCATTTTCAGACATAAATGGAATAGGAAAGCGGAACAGCTAAACCATCGTTCTTACTGAGCCGCCTGGAACACATGAAGGAGACGGAGCCACAGAACTACGACGACGTTAATGGGCGGCGGCGGCGATGTTCGGATCGACGGTAGGCCGTTATGTTCGATATTTCTGAACATTCAGGTAACGAGGCCGGACGAGTAGATTTGGAGCTCAGTAACCGTCTTCGTCCAATGCTTTTGCACCCGGAATATCAAGTCAAAGCCCAACAGGAGATCGATTCCGTAGTCGGAGCTGCAGCGCGGCTGCCCGGCTTCGAAGACCGCGAGCAACTCCCCTTGGTGGAATGCATAATGCAGGAGACGCTTTGGTTCGTGCTCAGAGTTCTTGCCGCCTGAAAGCTGCTCCTGAGGTCGTAGTTTCCAGATGGCACCCGCCCACTGAGCTAGGTCAGTGCAGGGATTTGTCGATTTCTGATAAGGGTTGAATTATTGAATATCAACTAGGCGTACCGCACGCACTGATGAAGGACGACGTCTACGAGGGAATGTTCATCCCCAAGGGGTCTACCGTGTTTGCGAACATCCGGTGAGACTTCCACTTATCCCCAGAGATGACCATCTCTGATTGACCGATCGTGTTATAGCGCAATGTCCCTCGACGAGAGAACATATTCAACACCCAAGCAATTCTTCCCGGAGCGGTTTCTCCCGGAGCCACGCGGGAGAGGGGAACCGCATTTCGCCTCGGTGTATGGGTTCGGGCGGAGGTACGTGGCATTTGAGTCTGTTCCCATGCTGTCCACCGACTGTTTGACGCAGAATTTGTTCGGGCCAACACCTCGCGGACCAGAGCCTGTGGATCGCCATCGTGTCGATCTTGGCGAGCTGCACGATATCTACGGCATTCGATGAGAACGGGTGTGAAATTGTGCCGGAGGCCAGTATGAGCGATGGGGTATCGAGGTCTGTAACTTGCCCCGCAGTGGGTGAAGGGTTCTGACGAAACTTGGCAGCCATCCAGACGACTTTCCTTGCATAATTTCTCCGCGTGATCACAAGCTTGGGCCTGCAGAATGAGCGAGAGGCCGTCGCCTCTACCAAATGAATTATCGAGGTTCACGGGCGATCGACTGCCACATGAATGCATAATCGAGCTTGCCCCCCACTCACCAAGACGCGCCTCTGCAAAACAATGTGAACAGTCGCAGACCCACTCAAACTCAAACCCACCTGTCGTTTGTGTTGGTCGCATGCTGTGGAAAGGAGATCTGTTCGTAATCAGATACAACATCGCACAGGCCAGTCGTTAGGAAACTGACTTTCGCCCACAAGATTCGGGATGAAGTCCTGAGTCGTTTGCGGTCGGCGTGGCCCCGTAACCCACGCCGCGTGGGTTACGATGTGATTGACCGCCTTCATATCCGACGCGTACAGCTCGGAAACCTGTTGCACTGGCAGGAGCTCAATAAGGCAGAGAATGGCACACGCTGAACAAGCCATGGAATATCACAGCTTCGGGTCGTCCTGGATGACTTCAGACACGATTCGCTGCAGATCAGTGGTGGTCGCTTTACATTTCCGGTGAGGAAATTGGGGATGGTGGGTCCAAGCAAGATCATGATGTAGCGCAGCGGCGAGGACAGGTTCCGACACAGAA